GTCTGGGCAGATAGTAGCGGTGGAGTGGGCAACAGTTGGTCTTATTAAATATCTGGCTGTGCACATCCTGACAAGGACAGAAAATGAGGGCTTGCAGGCAGATAGTTAGCTAGAACCATGACCCTGCATGAAGCCAGGACTCCTGAGGGGGTAAATCCTTTGGGAAATGATAGTCCAGATTAAAAAAAAAAAAATCTAACCGCCAGCACTGGGATACAACAAGCAAGGTTGTCTTAGCCTGGGTTCTGGCTGGGGGAAAGAGTCTCCTTTGAAAATTCAAAACCCAAGTTCTCTGCCTCACGTGGTTTCATTTTCATTTATTCTTAACCCATAGGAAAAATTCATATAAGAACCAAGATGGTGGTGCAAGATGCTTTGTAGAAGCAAACACAATATTGCTTTAACATGGCATTCCCTCAACTCAGGCCACACAGAGGGGTCCTTCTGAAAATGACTTCATAATCCGAAATTATAAAATGCATGAGGGAACAATCTACCATGAATGAGTTAACAGACACAATAGCATTATTAGACTGGCAAGAACTTAGCTAATAGAATAGTGTGCACACACACACACACATGAACTGATTAAACACACAAAGAATTTAAAAATAAGAGGAAAGAACACACCTATTTGAAAAATCAATAAATACAACATCTAAAATGAAACATTTTAGACTCAATGTAAAAAGGAATGCAGGAACTTCTATAATGGCAGAATTGAGGCATACTCACCACTGAGGACAATAGAAAAGCCTAACAAAATATTACAAACCACCTGCCTGAAGACATCAAAAGGCTAACAAGTCAGGAAAAATAGGGGGCCAAGACAACAGGAGAAGCAGGTAACCAACAGAGATGAGCAAGGCATTTGGGGCCATATGTTCCTAGGGGAAGCATTTCCTCAAGGTCTAGAGGACAACACTTGGGAGTCCAGAACCTTGCAAGAAGCATTCTTTTGGACGGAACCCTGCAGGGCTCTATTTTAGGAGAAAAGGGGAATGCGTGGTAAATTGACACTTGCAGCGACTGAGTGCAGCTTTGCATCATCTCAGTTCTGGAGACTGGGTTAAGGTGATCTCGGGTTGTTCATTCTGGAAACCGGATTAAGGTGATCTTGGATTGTTCACACTCCTAAATGCCTGCTGGGAGCCAATGCAAATCCTTTCTGGAGGAATTAATATCATCTTAGGTCTCAAGTTATTTCTATAGTTCTTTTTTTTTTTTTTTTTAATTTTTTTTTTTCAACGTTTATTTATTTTGGGGACAGAGAGAGACAGAGCATGAACGGGGGAGGGGCAGAGAGAGAGGGAGACACAGAATCGGAAACAGGCTCCAGGCTCTGAGCCATCAGCCCAGAGCCTGACGCGGGGCTCGAAGTCACGGACCGCGAGATTGTGACCTGGCTGAAGTCGGACGCTTAACCAACTGCGCCACCCAGGCGCCCCTATAGTTCTTTATATTAAATGTCTACCACTCAATCAAAGATATGCAGGCAGATAAGAAGACAAGACAATAAAAATGGACACACAGGGTATCCAGATAATGTGTTTTCAGAAACAGACTTTCAAATAACTATTTTGCAGTGCAAAAAAATATCCAAACTAGCTACTCTTCATGTAAGACAAAAGGGGATATAAGAAAATATCCTTGTATCTCCTCATTTGTGTTTTTTTCAATGTTTAAATATTTATTTTTGAGAGAAAGAGAGAGACAGAACACAAGTGGAGGAGGGGCAGAAAGAGAGGGAGACACAGGATCCGAAGCAGGCTTCAGGCTCTGAGCTGTCAGCACAGAGCCCCATGTGGGGCTCGAACTCATGAGCCCTGAGATCATAATCTGAGCAGAAGTCGGATGCTTAACCAACGGAGCCACCCAGGCGCCCCTTTGTATCTGATATAGAAAGGATAAACCAGAAACTGAAGAGATTGGGTACTAACTGGGATGGGTCAGGAAAGGGATAGAAAGAAGAAGGAAATGGGAACTGGGTAGTGGGCCTGGGGGAGAGCAACGCTTCTCTGTTCATATCTTTTTGTACAGCTCTGACTTTTAGAACCATTATAATGGTTCACATACACCAAAAAAAGCCCCAATTAATTAACAATGTAGATGCCACTACACACCTATTAGAATGGTTGAAAACCCCAAAACACAGAAAACACCAAATGCTGAAGAGGCTGTAGAACAACAGGAACTCCTCACTCATTGCTGGTGGGAATGCAAAATGGTGCACCCACTTTGAAAATAGTGTGGCGGTTCCATACACAACCATTCTTACCATACAATCACGAACTGTGCTCTGTCATTTACCCAAATGAATTTAAAACTTATGTCCACCCAAAAAACCTGCACGTGGATGTTGAGAGTAGCTTTATTCATAATTTACAAAACTTGGAAGCAACCAAGATGTACTTCAGTAGCTGAATAGATGGTTAAACTGTGATACATTCAGACAATGGAATATTATTCAGCACTTAACAGAAATGAATGGAAAGGAAATAAGTGCTAAACAGGAATGAGCTATCAAGCCATGGAGGATATTCCCAAGTGAAATATTACTTCCCTACACGAATATCACTAGTGCATATTAGTAGGCGAAAAAGAAGCCAATCTGAAAAGACTACCTATTGTGTGATCCCAACTAAATGACCTTTTGGAAACAGGCAAAACTATGGAGATAGTAAATGGATCAGTGGTTGCCAAGGGCTCAAGGGAGGGAAGGATACTTAGGCAGAGCACCGGGGATTCATAGGGCAGTGTGATAGTTAATTCTGTGTGTGAACTTGACTGGGATAAGGGACATCCAGACAGCTGGGAAAACATTATTTCTTCATGTGTCTGTGAGCGTGTCTCCAAAAGAAATTAGCATGTGAATTGGCAGACTGAGTAAAGGAGATTGCCCCCACCAATGCAGGTGGGCAACATCTAGTCTACCGAGGGCCTTAATAGAACAGGAAGTTGGAGGAAGGGGAAACTTGCTCTCTTTGCTTGAGCTGGGACAGCGTCACCTGCCCTTAGACACAGGAGTTCCTGGTTTTCCAGCTTTCAGACTTGCATCAGGACTTCTACCATCAGCCCCCTCATCCCCTTGATTCTCAAGCCCGGGGACTCGGCCTCACACCATCTGCTCCCCTGGTTCTCAAGCTTTCAGATTCACTGAATCATACCGCCCGCTTTCCTGGTTCTCCAGTTTGGAGGTAGCAGATCGTGGGACTTTTCAGCCTCCATAATCAAGCGAGCCAATTTCTATAACAAACCTCCTCTTTTATATATATCCTATTGGTTCTGTTTTTCTGGAGAATCCTGACTAACACAGGCAGGGAAACTATTCTGTATGACACTGTAATTAATGGTGGATACATTATACATTTGTCAAAGCCTACACCAGGCATGAAGTCTGATGTAATTTGTGGGCTTCATGTGATAAGAATGTATCAATGTAGGTTTATCACTTTTAACAAATGTACCACTCTGGTATAGGATGTTGATAGTGGGGGCGTATGCATGTGTTGGGGGCCAGGAGTGTATGGCCTTTCTGTTTCAATTTTGCTGTAACCTAAAACTGCTCTAAAAAGTAAACTCTATTTTTGGGGCGCCTGGGTGGCGCAGTCGGTTAAGTGTCCGACTTCAGCCAGGTCACGATCTCACGGTCTGTGAGTTCGAGCCCCGCGTCAGGCTCTGGGCTGATGGCTCGGAGCCTGGAGCCTGTTTCCGATTCTGTGTCTCCCTCTCTCTCTGCCCCTCCCCCGTTCATGCTCTGTCTCTCTCTGTCCCAAAAATAAATAAACGTTGAAAAAAAATTTTTTTAAAAAGTAAACTCTATTTTTTAAAAACATTTTTAGTTATTTTATTTATTTTAGTTTTTAAGCTTATTTCTTTATTTTGAGAGACAGAGACAGAGAGCAGGGGAGGGGCAGAGAGAAAGGTAGAGAGAGAATTCCAAGTAGGCTCCATACTGTCAGCACAGAGTCCGATGTGGGACTCGATCTCATGAACTATGAGATCATGACCTGAGCTGAAATCAAGAGTCAGACGGTTAAGCGACCGAGCCACCCAGGTGCCCCTAAAAAGTAAACTCTATTAAAAGGAAAAAAATTACGAGGTACAAACTTCCAGTTCTAAAATGAATAAGTCACAGGATGAAAAGTACAGCGGAGGAAATATAGTCAATAATATTATAATAGGGTTGTATGGTGACAGATGGTAGCTACCCTTGTGACCAGCACTGCCTAATGTACAAAACTGTCCAATCACTGGGTTGTAACTCTGAAACTAATGTAACATTGTATGTCAACCAC